CTAATTTCGTGAGGAAGTTTCTCTGAGTTCCAGTGATAAGCCGTTACCAGTGGAGTCTAATCCTTTCGGATATGAAGCGGAACCTACCGAAGATAATGGATGAAATTGTACAAGACTGTGGATTGATCGAAGTTACACTTAAACACCGTTAGTCGCTGATTCAGTTTGTGGTGGCCAATATCGACTGAAGGCTCACCATTTGTGGTGGCCGATTTCGACGTCAGGCTTATCATTTGTTTGCGTACACTGGCGAGCGACTGAAGCGAATCGTATGAAGCGATGTGGAGAAGGCTAATGAGCCAACTCCAAGAGATAGAGCATGACTAAGAATATATAGTCAGACAAATATAAGACAGACATGTGACCAACGAGATAGACATGTACATACATGAATAAAAGCGACGAATAGTTGACAAGGTCAAAAGACAATTGGGACAAGTTACATGAGCTCGTATAAACCAGACAATAATAAGAACGAATGGTACATATAAATTGTTGTAATACAAATGGCTTGGCTAAATAAATTAATCGAAATCGCTTAACCATGTTAAATGTAAGCGGACTGGAATATACGTGGAGGCACTACAAGTTGTCTAGAGGCTGAGTGTTCGCTCGCGAGACCAATGGTCTTTTATCGGACTGCCGCTATCGGGGATCGTGAATCAGCACTGATGATGAGTCCTATACTAGGATGAAACATCGTTTCATTGCTTCCAGGTTTCAAATGGTGCCCTAACATTGATCGATTCATAATTGCAATGAAACTCAACAGTCACCACAACACTTTATTGAGAATATAAATTTACTGGCATAAATAGAAGAAATCTATTAGTTATCGTTGACATACTCTGAGATTTTATTTATCTCTATGCGGATGATATTGTCTTACTGAGCAAGAATTCCCTTAATCAGTTAAAAAAAAATTCCCGTTGTGAAAATCAGAACAACAGATACAAGCGAACAATATCGTTTTCAATCAAATCGTCACCAGGCTTTATCTCTCTAATATACATGAATATTTATGTGAGAATGTTAAACCAATCAAGGCCATTTATGAGTCAGTCATCACAATGGTGGAAGTACTAGTTGATAGTAGGAATATAGGTATACTATTATTAATGGTAAGAATAATAAGCTACAACACTACAAGTTTTTGTCAATAAATCAACAAAGGAAGTATTAGGTTCAACCTGAATAAATAAACTTAGAATAATGATCACAAAGCACTATTAGGATTATGTAATTGGAAGAATATAAATTAATTGGATAGTAAAGAATATAAACGGAAAGAGGCGAAGAAAAGACAAACCAATAGAAGGTGTGAAAATGATACTAATAATAAAGTAAGATCCTTTATTCAGTTATATCTAGCCAAGCAAGGGACAGAGGTTTCATGAATTTCTTATGAATACACAAATGTACATTGAGTGTTCGGACATAATGTCTTCCACTATATGTAGTAGACGGCATCGAACTCCGATAGGAAATGATGGAGGTATACGACAGACAATTCGAAATGGTTCGGTTTTATCTATGCTATCACCGCTATCAATCATGTATGCCAAGATAGAGATGCGTATTGTTTTTCTTTGACTCTTTCCAAACCATGTTCACTCATCCGTTGGTTAAGTTGCTTTGAATTACGCCCAGTATAGCTATCTGCACAGGTGCAGCTTTAATTGTAGATGCACGTTGAGGAGAACCATTCAGGTAACTTAGCCTTCATTTGAGTAGATATCACTAGCCGACTAGAGAGTAGTTGAACAGAATGTCCCACTAATTGCCTTCTCTAATCTATTATTCAAGACATCATCATTAAGCACATTCCCGTTGAATTTTAGTTTAAGGAATATCAGTTTCTTTCAAACGATCAAGGCCTCCGACTTGTTTTTCACTGTATAAATGTACTTCTTTAAGAACGCACAAGGGTAGCAGATCTCGGTCAATCAGTTGTTAATAAATTCCATCTCCTTCCTTAAGATATCTACTGAATAGATCATTTTCGTTCTGCTTCAGATAGATAACAAATTATAAAAGCATGAAGACAAGTTTCCACTTAACGATCGGTCACTCAGTATACTTAATAAAATTTCAAGATAATCCAGTTTTTTGTCACACTGATCCTCATATGTGAACTGTTCTGGGAGTTCTCCTTCTTGCTAGTATTAGTATCCACAATTATGAATGTGTGGTTGATGGAGCAGTATTATAGATCTGGTTTCTTAATAGTCTCATTAAGGGTTACATTTTCTAAGTTTCCCAGAATTATATCAGTTAATATTGGGCCTAAAGTTGAACCCACAGTTATTTTATCTATTTGTCTGTGATAATCATTTGGCAATGTCCTTATGTATGGTATGTGCTTTTCATCTTATCAGTTCAAAGTACTTTTACGAGGCTAACAAAAACCTTAAACCTGCACTCATTCTTGGTAGTTTAAAATCGAAGTTGTCGAAGAGTTCATGTTGCTGGATAGCTGTGTAAATGCTAGCAGGTGCGTAAGGGATCAAATAAAGTAACATATAGTGAAAGCCAGAGAGGCTTATAACAATCTGGGACATCTTTGGCGCTTTCATGTTGTTAGTTTGGCTGTACAAGGTGTCAATGGAAGCAGTTTTGCTCAGTGCTTGCCAGACATGTTCTCTCTAAACTGAAGATATTAGAAAACTCTCAATGTTCGATTATCGTTGTCTCAGAAGTAATGCAGACATTCAGTGGCAGAAATAAAGTGATTGGGCTATGAGTTTTCGAACACATCAACAATAATTCAATTCTTGTCACCATTTTAAAGCATCAAGTTCGGTTGTTGGAACATGTACCATGTATGTCATCCTAGAGTAATCCACATCATGTATTATCCGTCAAGGCTGGGACTGATTTGAAAAGGCGGGTTGGTGATTAGCATATGACACAATGTTGCAGTATGAGAGAAAGCACCATTACAATTGGTTGAAGTCCTACAGATGGTACAACTAAGTGGTTTGTAACGTCATCGAACATAATTCAGAATGTAAGCCAGCGGCGTTCCTGCTGTCACTGTATTTCATTTTCTTCGCATAAATAAAATTAACTTCTTTAACTGTAAGGATTCTTTACTATTGTTATTAACATTAGTTCACTTTCACGTACTAATTTCCATCCATATTGTTTCTTTGTTATCCACATTGTTCTTTCTCTATCGATATTCATAACTTCATTTTTCATATGTAGTGCATTGATATATTATTTTTCTGACTACTGATACCAATATTTATGTGTTAAGTAAAATCAGAATTTATCAATAAGCCTGTCAACTAGCCTATCAACTTACTCTATTTAATAATTCTATAAATTATGAAGTAAGAAGTATAATGAATAAGAATAGACAGAATGTTAAGAACTAGTTAAAATCTGAGAAGACAAAGAATCAAATATATATATATAAAAAAAAGATAACATCTTTTAATTGCTTAAAATACTTCTCAAAACAAAGAAATATTTCTGTATTTCAAAAGTTACAATAGAAAACAATCTTGAATAAAAACTTATATACATTTAAGATCGATGACACTGATAATGAAGAATCAGTAGAAGAAAGACAAGCAACGTCAATACAGTTGTTACATAATAGTTTTTAGCTCTACAAAAGTGGGTATATCTAATCTCTGTCTGATACGTGTTAGTTTATTTTGGTCACTAAATACTGTAGTTAAAGTTTGTGGCATTTACGTACTTACTTACGCTTATTACCCTCTATAGAGGATAGGCCACCAACCACCATTGTCCAACATACTCTATCCTAGGCCTTCCTTTCCAGTTCTACCCAATTGCTGTTTATTCTTCTCACCTCTGCTTCTGATTTTCGGGGCAATGTATTCTTTGTTCTTCTCATTTTCCTATGGCTTTGAGGACTCCAAGTGAGGGCTTGCCTCGTCATATAGTAAGGTGATTTCTCCAATGTGTCATATATCCATTTCTAGCGCTTTTCCTTTATTTTTATCCTCAGCTGGAGAATTACATAACCAGATGTGTAGTTATATATTTATATATAGGAATTCACTCGCCAGTCCATCAAGAAAGCTGGTACGAAGCTAGGTATAGAATTCCATTTGCTTTATTTAATTAACAACAGTTTCATCAGTGTCGGATACTTCTTAGCGAAAGCTTATAGTGCAAAATAAATATACTTGTCGACTGATCTATCATACACACTAAATATACTTAACCAGAATTGATTAACACTACTCGCCAATCTTAGTTATATATATAAAAAAATATCCATGATTTTAAATTCCAAATGAACTAACACAACATACATGTTAGTAGTAATTGTCTAACGGTTTAATTGACTTGGTGTGTCACCAAATAATCCAGACTTACATTGTGCTGACCAGATATATATATATTGTACTGGAGTTAATGAGTGAAGGGGTTAGCTTTAGAATTTCATTGTAAGAAAATACTAGCCGAAGAGTTCATATCATTTCATATTCGTCTGTTTACTTTACAGAGAGTGCACTGGTGCTGAGTCTGAATTGTCCGAAAAACTCATTGATCAAATCTTGTGAAACTCTAATATATCCGTTTACTTTTCAAGACATTATCAAACCTCTAGACTTGTTCATATATGGGACTAATTATAAAATTTGTCCACTGATTGGCTCAATCCATTCGTATAGCAGTTTGTCTTGACCTATCCAAATACACACAGACAGCCTTACCTGTCTATCCATTTTATTTTAATGATAATGTGGGTCAAATACAGACTTATGTAGCTTAAAAGTAACAGTCAGATTTCAAATGTTTAACCTTGTATCATTTTCTCATTGATGAAGTATGGGATGTCTTTATTTGGAATTGTATTATCATCATATTCTTTGAAAGCCTTTAATAGAAATGCCTCATTTTGTATCTATGACCTTTTTAAATGATATGAAAAACTTTTATCTTGTCATTGACTTCTACGCAATCATTTATCCCTAATTCATTTAGATTCACTTAAACTATTCTACCTTTGATGTATGCCAATTGATATACCATTATCACTGAAAGAATCGATCAAAATATCATCAACAACATATAACATTTCACCTAATTTTAATATAGCTAACATTTTATCAACTCATTATGAACAGAATGAATCAAATCAACAACAAAATAATGAGGATAAACAAATGTTTAATATTAATAAAAATGATCATATTGTTCAAATGAATACATCTGATACAACATTTTTAAATAATGGTGAGTCATCAGATTATTATCCCATTGATGTTCAAGGATTCAATGTGTAATATAGGCATCATGTACCACAATATTCAATTTCATCATAGTTTTATTAATCATGTTTTTTTTCTTTTAAATTTAGATAATTTGCCACTTGTGATTAGTTTTTACATTGAGTAATTTATTAATTTGTTACGTGAAATAATTCATTTGTTTACATGTACATGACTTCATACCATTAAGTTCTTTCATTATTGACTCAAAATTAAAAAAAAAAGAAGATAAGAACACGTTTAAACAAAATAACATGAATTATTTCGTTTTTTTATTTTTTTTATTTTTTATTTTTCGCATTGAATTCTCGTTAATCACATTTACGCAGACTTTTCTATTTTACTATGAATGCACTAAGTGAATGAAAAATAAAAAGACGATAGGATACATGCTAATGAATTTGTAGCGCATTTGCGTTTTTTTTCTGTTGATCAATGTATATAACTAGTTAGCATTTTCTACATTTCGATCTCTAGAAAAAAAAATTCCCATCCTATGAAAAAAAAAACACAGAGTAATGAACAAAGAATACTTTTTTACAATAAATTCTCGTCAGATTCTATATAGGTATACATATGCAAATTAATAATTAAAAATATTACCCAAGGTTAGAGGCAAAATACACTGTGTTAAACTTATAGAATGTGAAGTTAAGCTCGTTTGTTTGAGATGATGATTAGTATCATGTGTTAACTTGATTTAATTTGTATATGAAATGAAATTGTAAGATTAAATGCTTCGAATACGTGTAAGTCAAATAGGGTAGAAGAAATAATACCACGTTAATGTTTAGTGATGTATGATGTGTTATATACATTCAAAAGAACCTTAGTATACATTTGGGAAATGAGTAGTGATGTTAAGCCAACGATAATAATGATAATCATGATAACTAACACAAAGATGTGGGAATACAGTTAAGTATGACATTTGTATGTAATTGAAGTTGTACTTACATTCATGAAATTGGGTCATTCTAAGGTTAAAATTACTGTGGTAAGAGAAGGGATTGAACCGTAATTTTTGGTCACACAGTTCCTGTATTTAAAGTGTTTATTTTATGGCTGATCTATGAATGATACGTTCATTCTTTCAGTAAAGACCATACTGACCGAGTAGAGATATTCAAGAGATTTTATGAAGTTTATCCGCCCATTAAATTCATTTTTAGATGCTCTAAACACGAAGAGATTAAATGAGTTGCTACAAGAAAAGTACCTGAACTGGCCAATATACAAATTTTATCCCACTACAATAGTGAAGTAACCTGATTAAGACACTTCAATGTAGCATCAATACTATATGCTCTCCGGATGCGGTTGTAGAGGAAATAAATACATTGCGTAATACTTTAAAGAAAATTGATTATCTCGAAGATTGTATAAATAAAGTATAAGGAAATCGTAAATATCCGAAAAAAATGTTGGTTTCAAGTTCTAACTTCCGCCCTTTTGATGATATCCAACAAATGAAGATGAATTAAAGTGTCGTGTTTATAGAAATGAAATCCCTATTGGAGATGAAACATTAATCTCTAGCATTGACTCAATAAATGAATAACAAAATATTTGACAATGCCAGATACTGTATAGTTATACAGTGTCACAAAAAAGTGGAATGATTCTCCTCACAATGTTACTTACTATACTAATAGGAATAAAATTAGTCAGATTTTATTTTATAGCGAAAATCCAAAGAAATAAGTCAAATGTATATGCATTAGAGTTTTAGTTTTCCTTTTGTTAAGATTAAGCCTTAAGATTAAGTACTTTACTGAACGATTTATCTCGTTAATGACTTTAACAATAAGTTTCAATAAAAATTAAATCATGACCAGCAATAAAATCTAGGATGTAAATTTTGTTGTTGTGTCTTGGATCGAATTTCAATGTGAGCATCAACACTGGGTTGTAGATATTGTTAGAATAGCAAGTTAAGAATAGGCTAAAACCCAAAACCTGGATTCTACAACTAGCCATAAAACAACCTGATTAAAAATGAGTAAATAGAATGTTACAAATAAATATCCACAAAGATTGTTTTTAGGAGCACTGGTCAATGGTCAAGAGGTTAGGCGTTGGCGCGCAAGACCGAAGGTCCTGGGTCTGAAACCTGCGGGGTGCAGGAGTCGTGGATGAGCGCTGCCGATGAGTCCCATACCAGGACGAAACAGCCACCTTTCAGTGCTTTGAGGTTCCTAATGGTGGTCTAACAATGATTGATTGATGATTTCAATGTGCGAAAAATAGTGACTAAAGCTTATTTACAAGTTAACTGAATGTGATGAAAATAACATATGGTTGTTCAAACTAAAGTCGATTAAGGGGGATATGAAAATAGGACTTAGTGGTTGTATTTAATCATTAAGCCACCTCTCTACAAAGTGATTACATAATTAGGTAATTATACACTGGTTAATTAACATATGCAATCAGTTTCATTTGTAACCTAGTTACAATGATATAATTACAACCTAGAAAATAGTTGAAAACGGTGATGGAATAAAATAATTTTTATTTGGTACAAATATTGTCTAATTACGGAAGCCATATTTAATGAAATATTTCATTTATGCAGAATAATGCTTACATTAGCATAATTAAAATTTTTTAAATTTGTGGATAACCAAGTTGATTTGAGAACAATAAGATTAAATTTTAATAATATTTTACATTGAATTCGGGAATCAAGCATTGTTAGACCATCATTAGAAACCTGGAAGCATTGGACAACAGTGCTCATCCACGACTCCTGCTATTCACTGCAATCGAACTCAGGACCTTCGGTTGTGCATGCGAACGCTTAACCTCTGAATTTAAGGAATTTGTCACTTATTTATTACACAAGTATATTTGACCATGAGAGTACTTTCCTTTTTAGCTAGAAACTAATATCTATTTTCCTTAATATTACTTTACTAAGTTTTCTGTCTGAAGTGTTTTTTTCCCTATTGTTTCGTTACACATTGAAAGTATGTCATGTTTTATTGTCACTTTTAAAATTATTGATTTATCCCATTTGAATCACTTTTTCATTGTGGTTGAATTTAATTATGTTGGTTTTCATTTTGTCAGGAAATAAATAAAAAGAATTAACATGAATTCATTATAGTTTTCAAGCTTCTTATCAACTTCAACTGGACTAAGTTTAGCACAGAGACATAGGCAAAGTAGTAATTAATGTATAACAGTGTTTTTATCCTGTTAGCTAGGAACAATGTTTAGTCAAAATCTTATTTAATAGAGCCAAAATGTGTACAATTGATAAAATCCCAAAAGAAATAGAATACATCAAAAAGTACTTTATAAAAACTGGTTATCTAAAGAAATTTATGATTAAGTATGATAAGACGCTTACGAAAAGTCCCAAACAAACAGACTGTTAACAGAAAACTCGTCTGACTCTGTCTTGCATAAATAGATAATGAGATTTCAGCCAATATTGTGAAAAGATTAAATTAGAGCTGTATAAAATTCTTTCCCTAGCTCGACTATCTTCATCGCATATGACCAACCGATCACTAATTCAAACACAAATGGATCAATATCTTTTTGCGGTCACCTACGAAGTAATTACAGATTTTAATATATTTATGCAAGCAAGTACATTAAAGTGACACCTACTAGTCTTCCCGATTAAGTTGTGTTTGAAATGCATTGAACTATTGACAAGTGCACACACACAAGAGGGAAATCACAAATGCGTTTAAATTAACAGGTAGATATACAATTTTTATTTCATTTTCCAGAGGATATTGATATTAAGCCGTTTCATTATGGCCTTCTAATTCAAAGTGTGGTAAATTTATCACTAGCATAATAAGATTGTAATAGTACTTTAAGGCTGGTCAGTTACATGTTCTGGTCATTATGATTTAACAACTTCAAGTAAAATATCCCATTGACATTCGCTCACCATATTCACTTTTATTTCTTATTAAATAGGAGTGTTGATTATCATTCTTATGGTGAGAATTTGTTTCTGTTCATAGGCTTTTTATTTATTGTTTACAACTTCAACTCATTCTCATTTCATCTTGCACATATGAACATTAGTCATACTCTTCAAACTTCAAAAGTATTAGGAATAACTAGGAACATATTTATTTATTACTCAATATAATTAACAATTGAGTGAATGTCAGTGTGAACAAGTTATCATATACACAGTTATTTACTGCAGAGATATCCAATTATATGATGAAACAGGCACCGACTATTTCCTGATTTTCAATGAGAGTCTAACATTGATGAATTTAGCATTACACTCAATTATCTACACAAACCAATACTGACGAATATTAACCAGTGTTTGAGTAATATTTTGTATGATGTAACAGTTTGATAATATTTTGATGTAAGATTCAAATTATGGAGAAAAAACAGGATTGCAGTAGAATGTTAAATTAATTCCATTTGGAATTTAGTACAATTAGTTTCGAAAAGAGAGTCTAGAATGCAAGAGAGAAATAGATGGAAACTAGATTCCATGCAGAATATCATCACCAGCTATTATACTGTGAAACAAACAAGTAGTTTAATTTGAATTAATTTTATTCTTCTAAAAATTCGAATGAATCAAGTCTGTCAGATACGAGGTACGTACGTACGTTTGTCAGTTAAAGTAGCCATACCATATGAGCACAGAAACTCAATTGTCATTTAAAATTCCATAGTGGTAGAAGTAGTAGACGTATTAGCGGTAATAAAAAATATAAGGGTTCGAAAAAAATTTTAAAAGAGTATAACCCAGTGAAATGAACTTAAAACGAGAAAGATAAAGGTGGTAAGGAATTCAGAAGATTAGAATTCGAGCGAATATAAAGAATGTATACACTTGCGCAAACGGTTTTGAGGCATGTCATTGAAGGTCTTTAATCATAGGTTACTGTGGTCTCATGGACGTCAATCTAGTAGTCTAGACCTAACAGCATGGCTCAGTTCAGTTGCTAATGAACTCATGGATTTGTGACATGTTTTGGTCTGACCGCTCCTAATCTAATGAATCTACAGGA